TTTGTGCTTCTGCATCATTATGTGGTATTTTACTCATTGTTAAGAAAGATATGGGAATAGCATTAATAATAATATTGACCTCTTTACAAAATAAAGAATCGACACCTATGCCAAATTATGACCCTTGCCTATAATACAGAACAGACTGCTGATAAGTTCCCCAGTGTGTGCGAGCTTGGGAAGTCTCGTGGGCAGCTCGCTGCACCCTGCAACTATTCAGCAAATCGTTAAGAGGCGTCGGTCGCCGCAACAAGACAGAGAAGCAACAGGGAGCATTCCTCCCCAACCCTGAATCTTGCTTGCCATTGGCGAACACGGCCGATAATTGGTCTTAGTCGCTAGCTATTGGTCAGCTACATGTTGCGGTTAGAGCTGCGCAATTTGAGGCACATACCTGTAATTACACAATGATCCAGCAGCAGCATATCTTCTGGACCTCTTTTTTTTCTGCATGACATCAGGCTCGACCGCATGTTATGAATAAGGAAGAATAGCATAACTTTTGTGCATCATTTATACAACATTACATTTTGCGCTACTACACATTATCCAGTGAAATATGGTCTTCATAAGTAATTTCATTTCATAATGGAATCTGTTTTATGTTTTTTTTTTTTGTTTTGTTCATGATAAGTATTTGCTGTTAAATATCAAAATGTTTATGGCTAAATCATTAAATCTGTGATGATATAGCCTCAAAATATGCTTCATGCTGATATAATAGTATTTCTGGAACAGAAGCTATTGTATTCAGAAGTTTGAGCAGTTTGATTTTCAATTTAGAATGAATTTGTTGTTGATTTTATTTCCATTTTTGGTGTGATTATGTATTTCAAGATAATTTTTTTACCGTGTGTACTGCTACCCGTTTAACGCGCTTTTCCTGCTTAAACGACATTAGGAAAACAGTGGGCCAATTCCAAGCTCATTAAATCCCAATTTTAAACTAAAATTGCAACAAAAAACTTCAACTTTCGGCAATTTCCATCATCTTCCAGAACCTTGCAAAAATTCTTGTGGTTTTGCATGCTTCGGATCGCTTCACCAGAGGCGCCCCGTTTTTACTCTTTGCAACACTGGTTCGGGAAACGCCCATGCACACCGATGGCATTTCCAAGTCTCCGCGTCTCATAAATAATAACCAAATTCGTGGCGTCCATTTTATCTGCATGGTTTAGAGCCCCACTACGAGATGCTATCTTATTATGGGCGTGTTTCCACCATTTTGGATTGCAGCGATGCAAGAAAGAAGTATAAGGGGTCAGACGCTCCCTCCAGTCCATGCAGACGACATGGACAGATCATAGCTAGGGCCCCAAAATGGCTTCGGCCGCCGCACTCGAGGCTCTCGAGCGTAAAATCAGAAAACCCATAATGAAGGAAGTGCAGTGATTGAAGCACCGATAGAAGTCGCGCTACGTAAAATCTTTGCGAACTTCAGAGGCCTCCAATGTCTGGTAAAAGACTGCATTTTTTGCTCCTTTTCCCGCACTCAAATTACCGGGCCAGAACCTTTTAGATCCGCAGTGCGCGGCTGGAACGAATATGCTTGCTACAGACACGAGTTCAGAGGAGGTCTAATGTGATAATGCAGCTTTTCAAAAAATTTAACTTCAAAAAAATATGGAGAAATTACTAGCCAAATAAAACAACCCTGTATTATTATCGATCCCCCTGTGATCTTTATCGATAATTTTCTCTTTATATTCTGAATATTCTTCTGATTAGGTTAAGACAGTCAAACATTTATTGCAAACTTATTCGGTTTAATGAAAAACGAGAAAAATTATACAGGTCTATCCTTATTCGATCAAGCTTCAATCATTTTAGTTTAAAGTGTATTACCGATTTCCAAAATTGAATAAATTTTGAAGTGGGATGGATCAAAAATTATTTATCCTTTTTTAGATACTTCAATGATTCAGGTCACCTTCACATTTGTTTAACTTTACGATGAATTTCAAATTTAAAAGAAAACAAATTTAAGACATGAAATTAAATTAAAACATAAAATTGTGAATCAAGCATCCAACCTGATTACAATTGTTGATGAATACTTACGATCAGTCTGATATAAATGATTCTATATAACCTCGTTCACACAATATCTAAATAAATTTTGAATATTAAATTTAATTCAACGCATTTATTTTGTGCTGTATTTCATTTAAAGTTTTTTAGGATGAATAATATTTTAATGGACCCCTTATTTTTTCAAAATATTTGAGATTTCTTGTTAGCAAAAATAAATTTAAGACCTTCCAAATAATTTTATTCCTGAGCGTCTTGGTTTTCATTCAAAAGGTTTTCCAGAATTGGAAGAAAGATTCATCCCAAGTACAAAGTTACACTCAGCGCGATCAATCAAGTACACAGGTTTAAGATAAAAAATTTTCCTCTAGCTCCTAATTTCAGGCGGCAGTTTCAAAGGTTAAATATATATTTTCTTAAATATATTTTAAAAAATATATTCCGAAAAAAAATTCGGTGAGGCCTTCAGACTCACTCCAGCGACTCGCTAACAACACACTTCTGAAAAAAATTCTCAAACAAATGTTTTTATTACAGAAACTTATCCTAAAATCGTATCGCTCTTAATTTCAGCTTGCTGTGCATCTGAATTGAATTATCTTTTTTCTCAAATATATAGAAGATTTAATTAGAAAAATTTAATGAATTGTTTGTAAACCACATAGGCAAGATTCACAAATTAGGCACGTGGCAAGTAGAAACACCAGCCGAAATACTATGAATGCTACTCTTTTAAAATTTTCTTTCATTTCACTAAAGAAAATAACCCGCAAGTTGGAGGATATTGTGTTGTCACAACATTAATTCTTAACTCTATCTCTAGGTGGATTCATTAGATATAGAACAAAAATTCATTAATTTCTTCATTATGCAAAGTGTGTTTCAAATTGCGTTCAAGGAAATCTCCCTCAAATAATGACAAATTTGACAGTTAGATAAAATCCTTCTGAACAAATATCACTCAAATGATTGCAATATCGCTCGCTGCTTCTGCTCTCAGCAACACCTGCAAATATGCCGAGAAAATTCGTACGTTTAAGATATTTGCTTGATCGCATTCAAAGTCTAAATCAGGTCAAAATTAAAATATTTTCATCTTGCTTCAGCAATTATGCAAACTATGAATGCAAAACATGAAATATATATCATGTACCCGGTAGTTCAAGCACCAACTATTTTAGTTAACAATTAACCCTACCATCTGGATGGATGAATAATAAATCCTTTCAATTCATTTCGCAAGCCACATAATGAATTGGAAACACTGAAATCAAATTGACATGAATTAAAGGTGAACAAAAGTCGTTTTTCGCCTTCATATTTTATTAAATGAAAATTCAGAACGACTTATTACATCTAAGTTTCCAAACTTAAAACTTATTTCTACATTACAGTTCTACTGATGCAATACTCTCTGGATTAACTATTATTACAGTTTATGATAGAAGAAAAAAATAACAGTTTAAAACACCGGGAGAATAAAACCATCTGTCATCTACACTACCAAATTTGTAAAAAATTAATGCGAACATTGCACATTATTTTCGGTATAGACGGACGAACCAGCGCGTATATTTATTATTGCTTAATATAAACATTTTTGTGGAATTTTGGCTAATAGAAACATATTACTTCTATTGTACATTTTATTTCAATTATTATTCAAGTGAAAACTACAAAAAAATATCGGGATTCACAATCAAAAATTCGCTATACTAATTATTGCATCTTGTATAGGCCGGAAAAGATTATTTCATAACCTAAATCACAGAATAATTTCTACACATAATCATTACTCGTATTCTGTACACATTATTCATGTATTGTTGTTCAATTATGTACAAGATATAATCTATCCATCATCCAGAGCAAAAACGATATACTTATACATGAAAAAGCTATAATAAAGAAGGGCATGAACTTGCCTACATAAAAAAACTTTTTAGTGCATGAAATTTTTAGTCAGAGATGCAAATATTGCAACGGGAGGATAAAATTCAGTAACAGGCATTCAGGGTTTCAATGATTTTGCTTCATTCAAAATAGTACCACATTTTTTCCCCTCTGCATCTAACAAGCTCTAGAGCCTCCATATAAAGTTAAGAATAAAGTCAACCTTATGTCGTGCAAATAACCAAGTGGATTCGAACTGATACATACAAATAAACGTTTTTTCTATTATAAACTCGTTAAAAAATTCTTTAAACAAAATTGAATTATTTGCGAATAGCAAGTTTACTTAACTATTCATCAGTTTTACATCGCTAACTATGATCTGCTGTTATTGCACGGAGGAAATGAACAAGAAATGAACCCGGTTTACACGAAATAAACTTACTTGAAGCTAAAGGCGATCTACTGTACGGATCAGAAAATTTATGCTAAAATCAATAACAAAAATTATTTTATTTGTAATCGGTTTAGTGATAATCAAATCAAGATTGTTATGAATAGGATATCGTTCAACTGAAAACCAAGTGAAATTTGGAATATTTTATTTATATAACCCTAGAATTCAAGTGCTTAATATGCCGAATATAAAGGTAATAGAAAACAATATCGAACATTCTGCTCACTAATTAAATATCAATATGTCCAATACTTGATCTTAGCTTACACATTAACGCTAAAAACCTGAATTATAAAGAGAACATAAAACAAAAAATTAAACCTACAGATGATATGATAATAAGAGAATGTTTAATCATAAGTCCAGGTAACGGAATACTGAATCATCCCGACATATTTTCAATTTTATCAGATAACTAAATAATATTTTGCATAATTACACAGTTTCATTATTGTATTTTCTCTAGGAATTTTCTCATTGCACTTCGACTTAATTATAAGCTAATGCATTTTAGAAAAACCAAAACCCCTTCAAAATGGAAGGTAAAAATTTGATCCATCAATAGTATAAAAAATTTGTTCAACTTCAAAAATATGATGAAATTTAATGACATGCAAATCCCCAAAACTGACTAAAAGTCAACTATGAATAACACATTCCTTAAAAAAACACGAAAATTTAACTTGCCTTATATAAAGAGTAGTGAAGCAACACAAGCAAAAGTATATTCATGAACCTCCTATTGATAATAAAATAATACACTATATGAAATGCTAACTATTACTAGATAAATCTACACCCTTGCAAATAACTCACAATCAATATCATCACTGCGATCTTTCTGGTCCGAAAATATTAAGGTAGGAGCGAGGATCCAGCCACACTATAGCAAGTTAATTTATACACCACACACTGCACGGTGATGACGCCGTCCTTGAAACATTTACTCGGAGTTGCACATCGACTGACCTGCCGGGAACAGGTCGCGACTAGCAGCGACTAGACGACCTGAGAAAAGAAATCATTTCATTTATTAGTACCACTCAATCAAAACTTATACGCGGACATTTTTTTTCACATTTTAAACTAGTTTCAATAAATGGTTGCAATGATAACAATGGTTGGAAAAGTTTGATGGATTAATCTTCTTTATTTGAAGCGAAACGAATTTTTCCAAGATGTTACAGAAAAAGAAAATTCGCTATTGAAGCCGCTCATTTGGTTACACTTGTATTCCTGGATTTTCGAAACATGATGAAGCAAGTTGCCTAATCGTTTTCAATATGAGTACAATTAATTTTATCAGTAAATTTTTTTATTTATTCTTAGCGAATTTCTGATTTCAGGAATAATCTCGATAATTTTCCTAGTCAATGTTACTCACCACGGCCCGACGCTAGGGACGGAAGTGGAAAGGTGCTTAACGGGCGCGTCATCGTCCTTTATCTGACGAAGGCATGGGAGTACCAGGGAGCTTCCCGAGGATCAATGTGCGGGGAAGGAACGTATTGATCGCTGGCTTCAGGACTGTTATCAAAGGAGAAATGAGTGGATTTGGTGGGACTTGCAGTCGTTGAATAAGGTGGCGTCACGTATGGGGTATATTCAGGACATTCTGGGACCTCCTGATTTGGTGACGATTTCCAAGAAAGTTCCGATTCATCGACGCTCATCGGTGAACCTCCCTTAATTTGTGTGTGTGGAGAAGGCCTCACGGCTACAGGAGTGGCCACGGCTACGCCACCGGATCCGTCTGTGGATCCAAGACCGTGCGACACCGGTGATCTCTTCGGCGAGGACATTGGGGTGCTCCTGCGGGACTTGGGCGTCAACGATGGCGCTGGACTCATGGCCTCTGGCACAGGGGCTGTCGTCTGCAGACCGTTGCTGTAGTTGTAGACGTAGTTGTGTGCTGCAGGGCTAGAATAATCGTAGTAGGACTGTGATGAATCCCTCGAGTATTCCGAATGTAATCTTAAAGAGTAGTGGGCGTGATATGGATGTAAGTATGACGTGCTAAGTGGGTAATGTGATGAATGAGTGGTAGGATTGAACTGCTGTTGATAGTGAGTGCTGGCCAGGGGGTTCGTCGCCATGTAGCTCCCTGCTGCTTCCGTCTGTATAAATAAAACAGAGTATTTTGAAACATTTGTAGGTACTCTAAATAACATCGTAGACTCATAATAACAAATGAATGCAAATTTTTTCATTACGAACCATTTAGAAGTTATTCCCAACACACTTTCGCATGCAATCAAATTTGGGACTCACCTGATAAGGCATCACTTGTGGGTAGTAAGCGTGCACCCTCTGGGCCTCGTAGGCAAGTCCGTACTGAAGCTTGGACTGCATCGTGTAGTAATGATACAGCCAAGAGTTGCTTCTAAGCACCGCCGCCTCGCGCTCACTCAAAACTTGATTAGTGGCTACGATGATAGGCTGCTGCTGATTTTGTAGAGGCTGCGCGGGTTGTGCAGTCGCTGCTTGAGCAGCTTGGGCCCCAGCAATCACAGGGGAAGGAGCCTCAACATTCTGCACTGGCACTGACGCTGAAGTCGATGGAATTTGTGGTTGGGTCCCTGAAGTGACTGTTGATGTGGCGGTTGGAGCGGCAGTTGCGCTCGTTGCTGCAGTGGCGGTAGAGTTGGTGCTTGTTTCCTGAGCGTCTTTGAGTTGGAGGACACAGTGCACCCAACGCCATGCACCTCCGGCCGCCTGGAGACGTAACAGCAGAATGCAAGAGCGCTCTTGCTCGCTGGAAGTGACTGGAAAGAGTTGAAGGCAAATTGATAAATTTAGTTTGCAAACAGGTAAAAATTTTCATGTATTAACTTTTTGAGATTGATTAAAAAATTATTCAATATACTTTTAAAAAAGTTTATTTTCTTGTAATTACTATACATTGGTATCAAATTATTCAGTTGTGTTCCGCGTAGGTTATCAATTCACATTGCACTACTTGCTTGCATTTTATCAGTATAGGTTCTTTTTCATAAAAATCATCACTGAAAATAATTGGAGCTCCATTTTTCTTACAATGATGCTGTGCGTCGTCAATAAACTATGCTTCCAAATTAAATACAAAACCAACTTCTCTTAACGATCACCGTTCATGTTTTAGGTTAACATCATCATGTTGTGGATGTCCCTCTAAAAATCCGGTCATTTGCTCAAACATGAAAAATGCAACCGCTTACTTCGAAGTTATTAATCATAGTAATGATAACTAACAAACATTTATAGTTAATTTTGAGTCTGCATCCTACACAATTCAATTACATCATCTAATTATGCAATTTCGTGGTACTCACTGAGGCGATGCTTGGTCTGCGCGTCGCGCAAGTTGTCGGGATGGATGAGGTGATACCAAGACACTCCTGCCAGCGAACTCTTATTGTAGCCAAGATAAAATTCCCCACTGAGAAGAAGAAAATAGAAACACGTTAATGATGATAACTGTTCCATTACAATACAAGCTACCATTTGAAAAAATGTATGTTCAAACACTATATATACATATACTGGACCTGATTTTAATTTGTCTCCTCGTGAAAATTTTCCGAAGTTGGATTGTTCCAATTTTTGAAATTACGAACGATTTTATTCCTTAAATTAATAGGTCTTGCAAGCAAGGCTGTTATAAATTCAAAGCGAAAGTTTTTAAACAGAAAATGGACGATATAGTATGAACACAGTTTCCGAGCTGACAATTCACACGCTGGTCACTGATCTCTTTTACAACTATTTATGTGGCTATACGTCGTCCATATATGACAATAGTGTGCATCACAGAATTAACATTCGGTAAAATTTGTAATCTTTTATTTGCACCCGATAATAAATAAACCTTAAGATGACAGCAAAGGGCGAGAACCTGATACGTTTTTCAACAGCTAAAAAATGTAAAAAACTCGCACTCAGATTTGACCCATAGCTAACCTCATCTCCCAGCCCAGTAAAAAACTCCCATCTCATTCGCATAAGGACAGGCTTTTGACTGAGATTCGTTATCTGTGTGTATGCCTGACCAGATTCTAATATCGAAGATAAATTAAGTTCCCGTGGAGTGAGCCAGCAGGATAGCTCGTGCTCTCAGTTGGAGGCCGGAATGCCACCGGACACATCGTTCCATGGGAAGCTGAGCCGCGCTCAGATTGCTCACAAACTCGTGCTCCAGCTTGAGCTGGACTGACTGGCTTCCAGGATCAAGCGGTGATGAGGCGTGTGAAGCACGAGCCAGGCGTCTCCGATACTTATATTTGCATCACCTCTCTTTAAGAGCCCGGTCTGGATTGCATTACAATTTGCCCTTTGGATCGTTTAAAATAGTTTGGCTTCTAGAATTCTGAGAAGAACAGTCAAGAAAAAGATTTTTCACACCAGTCCGTCTTGTGTAAATAGCCTTGTGTAGGTCTTCAATGTATCTTTAATTTGTAACTCATTACCTTCATATTTCTTAATATTATAGAACATATTTTTCAGCCGCTTTCCCTGTGCTTTTTTAGTGAAACAGCTCGTTATTCAGCACGGGATACAATGATTTCGAAGTATTGAATTATTTATAATTATATTAGTTGACCTTGAACTTTCTGACGTCAAAGAGCAATAGTTACGAAATCAAAAATCCACCTGCCTTGATTTATATGCAAAGCAATAATTTTGAGTAGAATTTTATTTTTTAATTCCAGGAAGAAGCTCAATCAAGGGTGATTCCATTGATTGAGCAACAATTGTGTCCTGTAAAGCATGGTTCAAGTGTTTAGGAGTAAACCAGTAACTATACCTGAATTTTCAGCCTGAAATATTCATAATAGTTATTCATCAATGAACCTTACTTCCACTCTAAGCCTTTATCCTTACAAAGTCATGAAATTAATAGAACAAACGTTGAAAATACCTGTATTGAGGCGTGCCGATAATAATGCTCGCTATCACTACCGCGGGAAAGTCCCATTTTTCATGCGTTAATCCTCGGTCCTCAATCTTAGGTCCGCGCCCGCTTTATTTTATCTATCAGGTCTCGTTCATTTATATTTTGTTTGGCTGTTCCCGTGCCTCGACTGCCTTGTAGCCAGGGTCATCTGTTATGTCACACGTTCAACATATAAGGACGAGACACGCGCGCTTGTTATGCCCGTAATTGGTGGGCTCGGTCATGCACCATAATGCGGGACACAAGGACAAGTTCGCACGAGAGCGATTGCCCCGGCCCAGCGTCATGGGAAACTGACGTAGAGGCAATTTAATCAGCGGGTAACGATGTGCAATCACTTAATTTAGCGAGGAAAAAGCTGGTACAAGATTCCGCAAAATTGTAAAGACTTAATCACCTATAATTTCTGTGTCATTTAGATTATTTTTACTATGGTTAAACGGTTGAAGAAAATAAAATAATTGGCCTGCTTGGAAATGTCTGGAAGTTTTCATGGCTCAAAGAAGTAGTTTGATAGTGATAGTCTAACAATGCGCTCAATTTCGTTGTTCAGGAACACATTGTCCATTTCCATTTTAATTCAGGGAAGCAGCTCGGGAAACATCACTAGTCCAGTGATATCAATTTCCTAATTTCTTTATGATAAATAATTTATTTTTTATTGACGCCTTATAATGATATGACGCGCCACACACGTCATATAATAAAATAAAATCGCTGGAGACAAGTTTCGGTTTAAGAGTCGCTCGATGCCACCGCACCACCAACAGATGGCGACACCAGACGCTACTGTTCTCGTTTAAATTAAAGACCAAGTGAGCATTAAACTATAGCCGCGTTATTACTGAGACCGCCGACGTCGGGCGTGGGAGCCGCGAAAACCTTTATGTCTTTGTATGAAATATCTAACTACTTTCAATAGTTATTCAAGCTTATTGTAATTCCCTGCGTATTGAAAAATATCTTAGTACTCATTTCTTGTCGCTGCTCATTATCTTAGTGCTATCTTAGTACTCACTTCTTGTCGATGCTGATTATCTTACTGCTATCTTAGTACTCACTTCTTGTCGCTGCTGATTATCTTACTTCTATCTTAGTACTCACTTCTTGTCGATGCTGATTATCTTACTGCTATCATAGTACTCACTTATTATCAATACACATTATCTTAGTGCTATCTTAGTACTCACTTATTATCAATACAGATTATCTTAGTGCTATCTTAGTACTCACTTATTATCAATACAGATTATCTTAGTGCTATCTTAGTCTCACTTATTATCAATAGAGATTATCTTAGTGTTATCTTAGTACTCACTTCTTATCGATGCTGATTATCTTCATGTCGAGCGTGTGCAGCGTAGTGAAGACGTTCGTAGCGCCCTGCACGACGCTCTCGCGGGTCTCCGGCATGGCGACGGGCGAGCAGTGCGCCAGGAAGACGGGCTCGTTACGCGAGCACAGAGGCAGGTACGACAAGAAGTGACCGTGCACCAGCACCACCTGTGACACGCAAAAATGTACATGCTGTGTTAAAATAACCCAGTAAATAAATTTTAGTTTTAATTTGACGCTAATTACAGCAGATGGAAATATTCCTCCTGATTTCTGTACGTGTTTGTTCTCCAATTGCACCAGCGACATGACAATGTTGAGGTTACGGTGAAATAATTGCTGGCAGTTAAGTATTGGTGAGAAAATATGTAACACACAATTACTGCATATAGAAATCTAACTTCTGATTGCTATACGTAATTTAAATGTGCTGCATCAAATTTTTATCGCATTACCTACAAAAAACATTAACAATATTTGCTCGGGAAAAATGCCCACACAGAATATTCATTGGATATTATCCGGTACACTTATTGACTTATTTTCCTATACGTAATCGAATAATTCTAATTATTCTTAATCCTCATCTAATAATGTGCATCATTTGTTAAATTTTCTTTCACCTTCTGGTCTCCGAAGCGCATCTGCCGCCTGGCGTTCCTGGAGACGTTCATACGGCACAGGAAGAGCCTGTCGTCCTCGGGCCCCGCCTGGGCGGCCCTCACCAGCTCGGCCTGCACCGCCGCGTGGTCCTGTTTGTCCAACCTCCGATACATAAAGCTCGGAGATATGGTAATTATTTGAGGTTTTGTAAGACACGATATGTATTTCCGCATCTGAAATTAGAGTTCAAATTGTTTGAGGTTGAACTCTTTATATATAGGAAGTGACTCATGTATTGGCGCAAATGGTGAATAAGAGACTTCAATAAGCTTTTTCTACCGAAGCCTTGTCTTATGCCTAGGCTTTAAAGTGGTTTTCAAGATACAGCTTAACATTATCACGCTATAATTTTCCCAATATAAATAAAGTTTAACCTGAACTTCAGTTTTCTCCTATACTTTGCTTCGAGTAGCGCTGTCTTCAATTTCAATTTCTACAAAATAGGACCGAATTGTTTTAAAAAAGTATAGTAGTAGCCCGTGATATATAAAAGTTGCTTATTGAATTTTTAATTTTCATGTCAAATAATTGAGGAAATTGCCCGATTAAATTAGTTAAATAAAAGTTCACAAAAATTTTCGTCAGCCTACAATGATGTGCACTCACATCAATTTTTACGGCTTGAGCATCTATAATTCATGCTTATTTCATAGGTACTTTAATAACGTCATCAAGATTGTCTTGTCCATGAGCAACTCTTGCTTAATTTCCTGACACTGTAGTAGCTGACGCCCTGCTATTGAAGTCCAATCAACGACGTCGCAGCAATCGTGGTCGACTTGCCGTGACTGGGAGTGTCCCAGAGCTCCTATAACTTACTGCCCCTACATACTCCTACTTCCGTTCCTGCTATCGATGAATATTTAAAAAAAATGCGGATATGACAATCATAAATAATTCAAGAGGAGATATTCAAACTGAGATCCTTCTTGATAAAACAAAAGGATTTGAAAATTCTCAATTTATATGCATCGGAAGTCGGAACTAACATTTCGAAATATCTCTGAGGCATGAGTAATTTTCAAGATTTCCCCGATATAACGAGAACTAATAATCGGAAATCTTTATACCTGCTATATACTTCCGTCACACATTCATCAGAATATCTAAAAAAATGATTTCTGTTGTATGAATTATCAATATAGTGTCTACATATTTTGAATAAATTCCAGGAAGCGATGCTTAGGAATTTCATACATGAAAATTTGGTTGTACAAGTTCTTCTGTGTACTGGAAATCTCTCTCAAATGATTGTGGCCTTAATATGAAGTTTGACTTATTTGAACATTAGTAAATAATTATGCATCAACATATCCATTAGTGAAATTTAATGAGTTTTGTACAACATTGATTGAATGATATATATACTGTACAAAAAACTAGAAATTTGTCGTTTATTATCATTCGTGTGCGACAGCAATCATCCAGTGAGTTTCCGCCCTCTCCCATGTGAACAAAATTTACAGCCCCACAGATTGATCACTTTGATTATATTTGATTAAAATTCATGTCACATTTTCAAAAAATTTTTGCCGGTCGAGGAAAACGCATTTTAGCTTCCCAGGCAACCGCCGATTAAGAAAAGCTCGATCGCGAAAGAATTTTTAAGCTGCGACAAAACAAAAAGCAAACACACAATCATGACATCACTCTCGGCCTCTCGATGACACTGTGACAACAACACCAGCAAAAAAATGATCAATCAACTCTAAAACTAACCTCAGGGGAGATTTCAGTGTCCTATAAAAAGAAAATAATTATGCCTTTGTAGACAAGGGCACTAGTCTTGAGCTGGCATGGTCCATGGGAAAGCAACTCGCTCTATAAGATGCTTGTCACCGAATAACAAAACTACCATTATTGAGCCTGATCGTGCGGGCAATCTTTCGTAACGGTGGTTGGAGAGATTGCGACCGTACGTTTACATCCGCATCGGGATTCTTCTCACAGATTTTTGAGGAAATCAAAATTTGTTGTTTAAAATTATCTACCGCAATAAAACATATAAATAAAACATAGATAAAAAGCCAAATAGTTTAATATTAGGTAACATATCTTCCTTTAAAATGAAAAATTAAAACAATCCAAGAATATTAGTGAGGATGATTTAACATGCTTGAACTAACATAGTATTTCCTCGCATTTGTAAGAGATAATTAACGATTATGATTTATATTTCTAACTTGCATAAAAATCTGATATATTTTGTCAGATAAACCCACACGCAAATTGGTTACTCTAGACTTTTAACTGAAGAAGAAATTCATGCGTAAATGAAACTTTTACTCACCATAGAGTGACCGAGGTACTCAGCAGCGTTGTCAGAAATGTAGAGCAACTTTCCTCCTTGTGTCATCATGATAAGAAATCCGTTGAGAGCCTGAGAAACAAGAATTTAAAGCTTCAGTGTTACATTTGGTAATACGGGCTCAATGTGCTTTGCCCAAAGAATATAATCTATAATACAATAAAATGAATATGGCTCGCTAATGAAAATAGAAATAATTACCGCACCACGCCACTTTAGAATCACATTTTTCGAAGCATTATATAGTAATGAAACCTTACATAGATGATACAAAATGACCAGTAATGATACTTTAAGAACAATTTTTTAGGGTGCACTCTAGTAGATGAACTCACCTTCAAAAATTCCATGTTGGCGCTTTCAGAGGCAAGTCTCGTAGCCTGTTGCTTCAACACTGAAAAAGAAAACCAATTGAATTAACAATGGCAATCATCCAATCACTCGCGCATAAATGAAAATTGTTTGATGTTTTACTCAGTTTTCACGCAAAATCCAATATAAATTTAAACTCAGAGTGAATTGGCTTGTCTCTCCCAAGCTAACCTGTAAATCACTGCCATATGTAGCGTGTGCAATTATAAAAATATAGTTACCCGTACAATAGTTCTTCCCGTGAAAGTACATAATTTATTGATTTATCATACTTTTTGTAACTTAATGAACGCGTGCATTAAAAAGATTTAATTTTCTTCAATAAAGGGCGATCCCTTACATATTATTACCCCAGAGAGGGTCATTAAATTTTACTTCGAATCAATTTTTTTCAATGCATTATCACAGAACCAGTCAGCCCGCCTGACTGTGGAAAGTAACCTACTAAACATAAAGATACTTATTTCTTGGCATAGTAAAGCCACATCTATTCTTGGTTCTTTTATTTGACACAAAAAATTTACCCCAAATTGCTGGAGTTGTTTTCCCTTAATTGGTTGTTATTCCATAATTGAACATCTTTATGAAAAGCACAAGCCGGAAATTTTCAAGCACCACGAAACATAAATTTTGTCTTAGGTACATTAATTATTTGAGGTTATTTAGCCCTAAAATGCAAACATTATCAACATGCTAAGAAGCTCACCTTGTTGGAAGTAGTTGCTCTTCCTGACATAGACGCACACCAGAGCCATGAGCTGCAGCTGCGAGAGCCGCTGTCGGGTCGAGGGCGGCAGGGGCAGCAGCTCGCGTAGTTGTCCGATCTCAGCGTTCAGAAGATCGCGCCGCATCTTTGACGCGCCTTTTGTCGACTTTGTGCCCTCGAAACTGAAAATGAGCCGTGAAATATGTTTAAATTATGAGTGTTGTTTTGTTATAAAAACTGTCCACATGAAATTTATACTTCAGTTTAATGAACTTGGGGCTTATAAAGCTGTGAATGGGCAATACGAAAAATTAATGAGATATTTCCTTTTTAAATAGTTCACTAATTAAAACGAAGTCACAAATTAATATTTCCGTAAGAAGTGCTGCGAACAAAGAATATTTATGGTTGATATGAAAGATTTTCGACGAAGGTAACACATTATTGTTTAGGTTCATTCTTTATGTTCTCCTCAAGTTAAGAAAAAGTAGAAGCTTTGTAAGAAAAAAAACTACCCCAAGATTTGTTAGCTAAGAAACACTCCAGTATTGTTGAGAAATCATGATTTCTTTCAGTAAAATGATTGAGTCATCTCGCAGGAGAAGGAGGTGGTGTTCAGAAACCTTGGCAGCGCCCCTAGAACATTTCTCGTCTAACACTCTACAAACACTCACAGTGACAGTTGTTTTGGTGCTTACGAGGAGAATTCTTTCCTGTTAAATTAAAACTTTGTAAAAGGAAATGGTTTTCCTCTCGCTTGTGAGTATTTATGGGAAAACAGTTGATTGGAATTTATTGTGTGGTAAATAATGCTCTCTAGCAAACAAAAACCTAATAACAGCGTATGGTATTTTTTAAATTACACTCACATCGGACAAATGGAACTTAGTTGTATCGTATAGTGTATAGTGATATGAAACCAAATAAATGCCAAACTGGTTTTTTATATCTCCCAAAAACTTCACAGACTCAATTCAGTAAATTAAACTGGAGTAGGTAACGCGGATGCGAAAATAGCGAAATCGTAGAAAATAAGCAAAATGTTCACATGGTGCAGTCAGTCAAAATGTCATGGTGCAAAATGCAGTCAGTTGGTTCATGTATATAGTACCTTGAATACATTTTTCATAGCATAAATTTTTCAAATTTCCTGTGTGATGGCGCGCAACATCTCAACGAAGCACGGCGGCGGGCAGACGCACAAGGAACGGCAGTTCACGAGCGTCACATGACAAACGACTTGGTCACAGTGTGACAATCCGCCTCGATAATCCTGTTCACTTTGAATGACCAAGCAAACCTAACGAATCCATCCACCATGACACCATATAGCCGTGGCCACCGGAGAAGAAATGTTCCTAAGAGGTGCTTCTTTCTAAGATTTTAGTCCATCCTGATCATGTTTCTTTTATGATAGAGTATGCGAGGTTTTGCAAATCTCATAAGCCAAGAAAACGTCGAAATTTTTCTAATAATTATAGATTAGCTTAGACATATTATTTGCATTCACCCTGTTTTAATTCAAAACATTTTCACTTTTCGATTGTTATGAATTTCAATTCCGTTTATAATATCCGTTAAATTTCAAAAAAATACTCATGAGCAAATGCTTTTTCGTAAGTTTTGCTACTCACCAAAAACCATTTACTTGATCAAACCAAATAATTTTGTTCTCTTATTCATTCCTATAAAGGTTAGCTAATAAATTTCGGCTGTTTCTATATTGTTTAAATATTAATTCAATTTTCCTCGCTTCGCATGCTAGTTTCACACTCACCCAACTAAATGTCTGACGTATACTTATTGTTAAAATTCATTTAATAAGCTGAATTAGCTGAATTTTTTGAGCAATACTGAGCTCAATGCCGCGGACAACTCATTGCCTCGATTCCTACCAACTCCGTTTCAGTGTTGTACATTGAATGTTATTAACATACGCACATTACAACGTCATACCCGCGATTTTTCTCCCTCCACTCCGATGTTATATATCGAGTGCTAACACCTGCGGACGCCGTAACAGTTTTTACGACTTATACAGCCGCCTAAGATTGTAAAAGATCGCAGTCCATGGCGGGCGACTTGAAAGCTTCCCAGCGAGCGGTAATGACGCTAAGATTGAGGGAGGAAATCGCAATAATCCTTCCCGATGGTTTCATGCATGGAATCTTTCGGCTATTAAATAAAAAGAGTCCGGACCTCCTCAATGTGGTTTTACTTGAGACAGTCGATGAGATGGCGGATTGTGATGCGCAACGTATCTCAATATTTCAAGAGAAAATGATGATTCCTTGGTGTATATAAATAATGAATTTAATATATGGTCTCTTTTAAAGAGTTTCAAAAGAGCTCGATCACATTCCGGATTGAACTGCGTTGAGCCTAATTATTGTGCATCGTTCATTTTCATTTAAAACAGTGGAGAAAAACAGTGGAATATTAGTCAAAGTTACATCATTAAGATTCAGGTAGACATGGTCAATGAAGCGGTCGCTCGCACCTGATTTTATGGGAAGGGAAACAATTGAATTCCTTACCTTCTGTGTAATCATGGCTCATTACGCTTCCTTAACAAAGCGACATGGAAACTTTCACTTCACAATTACGAATATGAGTGTATCTCCTTTTTTTATTGTATAACATACCATAAATTTGCTCCGTGCGAACCTCGCGGATGAATTAGTCAGCGTATATAATATTACTTTAATGGGGAATTTATCATAGTTATAAGTACAGACAAATTATAAAAATTTTTACGAAGTTAGTGATTTTTCTGATCTATATTTCTAATAAATAATATCAGCAGCCTTTTTTCCTTGCTATATTAAAATTTGTAGGGAAAGTTTTCTGAATAAAATCTCTTGTCAATTTTCAGATTAAAAATCTTTCCAATTCCATTTTTATTAAATTATGAATAATATGCGCAATTTATTTACGTCTGATGAATTTCTAATCGACTGAATTTAAAATAAAAATATCCGGAAAACATTATTGAGTAAATTGTATACCAATGATTTGAAAACTTCCAATCATACAATACGATTTATACCACAGTGTTACAATGCTACATATATTTAAAATCGAATAACAATTATTTTCGAACACACAGATGCAGAAATATTGCAAGGAAGCAATATTATAGGTAGTTTTATGGTGGTTCTAATTGCTCAACTCATTAGCCGCGCATGAAAGGCTGATAAACGTAGGACCACCTGGGAGACGCGCGGCGACGTTGCTAGCTGTTCCTGGCGCGTCTTCCCACGTTCCACGGGGCGGGTGGACTTCATCGATGCTGCCGACCGTGGCTGCCTCTCGATTTTTTTAGTGATTACTTGGGAGAAATAAAGCCTGAACGGCCGCCTCAGGGACGTCGGCAATAAACCCGCCCGTGATTTAGAAGAAGACGCCACTAAAGAGCGTCAACACAGCTAAACACGGGTCTCGACAGCCCGGCCATGGTCAGGAACTCATTGAGTTTTTTTCAGATCAATTTGCTGTCACCAGATCAATTTTTTGTCATCAAAGGGCAATGCTGGGCACTCGGATTGCACGTTTGCCTTGTTATTTGTCGCAGGAGATGCTGAGTGCGACCACAGATTACCTGTCCGGTGCACAGATAATCAACGACCAAAGTATGACTGAATGGAACCCTTGTGTTTGTCGTTTAACCTTCCATTCAACATAGTCGGTCGCACATAATTGACTCTCAAATGCCAAGCCATGCCACAGTACTGTATCTTCGCCCTCAATTAATGATATTACCTTTTTGCGGTTGATCTTCGTGGTTGCAGAAGATTCCAGTTTGCTGGCTCGTACCCTGAAGGGCTCACGACTTTCCAATTGGACAAACATATTCTCCTGTAGCCTAGAGCATTTAAATATCGGCTTGAAGCTCATGCACTTATCGTTTAGTTTCGCACGATCAAAACACATGGCTGGCATAACTAAATAGTTGGTCAGGAGTATGGGACCCATCACGTTTCCTATATTGCTGCCTTCGAGAGTAGAGATTTGATTTAGATAACGTCACGTTAGTGCTTGCAGCTCTTTGACAAGATGGAATCTGGCGACAATAAGAGAAGCTGGGCTGAGCCAAAGAAATGCACCTGCAGCAGCTATGCTTTATATAAAACAATGCGATACTGACAAGTCAGGAGTTCAACTACTTTAGATAGTTATTGGTATCGAATTCTGTTTGAACTGTGAATTATCCAGTTTTAACTATTAAATTAATTCACAATAATTCACAAATTATCCACTTTGAACTGTGAAGTATCCATACGTGCGATTTCAAGTGAAAATGTTGAGTAATTCTTTGCACACTTATCCAAATTCATAGAATGGATCAATATAAATGTTTTCAAACTTTAATTATTACTTGGCTATGAGAAGAAAGTCATTTTAATGCCATGCGCTCACAAACAGTCGTATAATAAATTTTATTAATTGAATCAAAGGTAAAGAAAGAAGAAACACGAATCTGTTTAAAACGAGTTAAATGCAGTGTATGGATCAGCCATCTGCAAGCACCGTACAACCATTATAGTAAGAAAAAATGTACTTTTTCTATAATCCTTTTACAATAATTTTTACCCAAACGTGCTCCGCTTACCTCTCTTCAATTTATCTTAAGAGCCCAATTTTTACTTGTGTAAACTCTATTTTAACTGAGTTCTCTTTTTTCCAGCGGGAAATTAATATTTAGTTTTAACGTTCCCGTGGGACACTTTCAGCCGAGTGAACGATCAAGCACCTCGTAAAATAGTTTCATTTCAAAATAATTTGTATTACTACAAAAATTATGAATACTTTAAATTTACATTCATTTGTCAAAATATCTAAAGAGACAGTGTAGAATATTTCTACTAATGTGATAACAGCAACATTCAACGAATATTTGGATTACTATAGTTTCCAATCATTTAATAATAAAATAAAAGCCGAACTGCCGATTACCCATTCCGTAATAAATAACAAAATGTAAGGTTAGTTAGTCTATCCATCAGCTAGCTGATTTCAAATAAATCATTTTTAAAACTGTATTTCCTAATGCCAGCTAGCCTCCCTCCCCACGACCATTCTTGAACTCAGCAGCAACCAAGATGAAAGTGTGGGACCGGGCAAGCATTCTAGACTACCAAGCCAACGCTGTCGTGAAGCTCGGAGATATTAACTGGTGCAATCGCAAGCTCTGGGCTAAACATGACTCAGGCCGAGGTCGAAAAACTGCCACAAGGCAAAGATGCGTGCGCGTTAAACGTCCGGGAACTGGATTCTCACGGCGATCGAGATGTAGTCGCAGTAAAAAAATCTTGAGGAATATATGACCTCGAGCTCTCAACACTCCCGCGTGTGGAGAACAGCGGTGCAATAAAACTCAGACATGCATGAGGTGATTTAATGGCAGCGAAAACTCGTTTTTTTTCAATTTGAGGTTCTGAATTTTTTGTGAAATGAATATCTTGATGGTTCTGGACAATAACGGTGGACAATATCGCCAACGTAGATAACTGAGTGAATTTTGAAAACTATGTTTAGTTAATCTAAAAATTCCGTATTTAGTGAAATTAATGCTACAACATACTACTATTTTTGGTTGAGATGAATTTTATTGATTCCGGACTATTTCTTTCTTTCCCATTCCATTAAGTTCATCTCGGCTAAAGTTTTCCATCTTGGATAAATTAAATCTAAAATTTTTAGTAAAAACGTATCAAATAATAACACTGACCTGCACATTTTGAGTATGTCATGCATCTTTTGTAGTGGTAGGAATAAGCTTGTCCGAAGAACGTTAACGAAGAGACTTCCTTCTGAAGGGATGCGTCAGGATTGGCACTCTAGGGCCGAGCACTGGCAGTGCCACTTGGACTTCTGTCTCTCGTGGAACTAAAGCAGGGATATTGTTCACTTATACGTCACCAGAATTATGTCCATAGCTAGTACTATTTGAGTTTCAAAATCAAATTAAATAATTTTCCACAGATTTGCAGTTTATAAATCTAACAACAATTGAGCTTTCCAGCAGAATTTGAAATTCATCAAATTAGTTGCAAGTTGAATAGTCAGTTCGTGTGAAGAGACGATATGTTTCAAGTAAGGTTCCGATGTTCAAATCACACGACGTCAAACTCATGGGCATTACCAAAATATCAAGATAAGGAGCCACGAGCGAGCAATCGAAATGCCGAAGAAGTGCACTCGCCACTGTCACACTCCCAACTAACACGACATCGTCTGCTTACCTGTGCCCTCGACACTTCCTGGACTTCATATCGCGATGGCTTCGCTCCTCCTCTGCGCGGGACCCACCCTGGCTGCCGCTGCTGGAATGCTAATAGAGCTTTAGGAAGTTCCTGCGCACACGCTCCCCTTGGCAACTTATTGCTTCGGTTACAATCACAATAAATTTTCGAAGTGGCCAGTTTTTTGTAAAATATTTTTCAAATAATCGACGCAACATGAGATGAAACTAAGCTACCTATGTGGAAAGCTATAAGATATATGCTGCTTATCAAATACGTGTCTTTCCCGGCTGCAATCCGCAGCTCCGCACGAGTCGTTCCATACCTCCCAGACTCCACCTCCGCGTCTTCTTCTTGGTCACGATTGGTCTCCCGAAGAAGCGAGCGGAAGGAGTTTGGACGCTTGCCGAGAGACTGCCCATGTGGTTTTTATGATGGGAGTTTTTGTGATTTGGACAGCTCCTGCCAAGGTGTTGAACTGCAAGACACGTGGGCAAGGCGCTCAAGTATCACTGAACGATTCTCAAGCCTCACGCTTTGTCGCGACCGACCGACTGACGGCATCCGAGGTTTAGACCTTCATAAATGCGAAACCATAAGAAGACATGGAGAATTATGCATTAATGTATTCAGTGTAGTTTAATATTATTTTTCCCGCGGTCAAAACAAATCTTTTTTGCGTTAGTGAAGGTAGTTTTGCATATTGATAGGCGATCGCCAACAATATTTTACGTCTCTCTATATAGCAACACACTCATGACTTCAGCTAAAATCATGATTGTGCGGCATTGGATCATTTCTTCTTTCGGCGTTCAGGTCACCAGATAAAATCTAAATTATGTATATAAGATCATGACTCATGAAGATTATATTGCTACTAAAAATGATAAGTCTCGACTCCCAACTATTCCGCCCAGAACTTATTTACTGCTGATTACCTATGTTTCGTTCTTTAGATTTAAAGTAAAATCACGACTTAGGCAAACATATTCATGCAACGCTCACGCTTTGCATTGTTGATTACATAAATACTATTCAGATAATCTAATGCCATTTAAGCCTCATCTCGTGCTTTGTATCTGCAGGCCTGCAGATTTTAAGATTTATAATTAAGTCACCATTTGAATGAGCTGTTACTCAACACAGTGTATCCAACCGGCAATTTATATAAGAACATTTAGGAGCTCACTATAAAGTATTATTTCAAATTTTAATCAACGTTGAGGATTTCTCATGCATAAAATTTTCTAGACGGTCCCTCAAGGCTGCCTTAATTTTGGTTCTAGTTAACTTTACTTATCAGCATGTGTTGTTTGGTCTCCAGATCATAATTTTTTGGACAAACCTTACCATAAATGTTAAGGGCCGTACTCATTCGTTTCATGCAACTAAAATGCTTTCATGATTAAATTCATTAAAGTTTCCCACTGTTAATAAAGTAATGCACTATTACAAATTTGTAGAAATAATATACTGGAAGTCCACAGTAAATATGATCATCCTAACAAATCCTAACTCGAAAATTAAGCCCAGGTTATTTCACAGAGACGTCCTCCATGCTGGGAATGATGTCATTAAAGTCTGTGGCGTTCTTTGTTGGTTCATTTGGGAAGCACCTAAGCTTAACTTGTGGCCTGGCAAGTCGTAAATTGACCTTCCTTCCAACTTAATGACAGAATAATCATTTTTTAGGGTTCGTTGAAAGTTGTAGAAAGCCAGATTCCTTGTTGCCCTTATCGAAAGGCGCATAGGGAATGAAGTGCATTTCTAAGAGCATTAGGGCAAGTGCAGTATCTGGTCATGAAAGCGAAACTATAATTCTGATCAATTAATAAAAATTCATAAGCTTCGGCGATATGGGATAAGGAACAATTATTATAAAAACTAATTAATCGATACGAAATGTTTCTGATTCTAATAAATGCCGTGAATTTAATTTTTATTAGAATGTCCAATTTTGCATGGTAGTTTAGGACTTCAAGAGACAATAATAAAGTATAAAGTATACGTACCATAATTTAGGATTGTTCATTTTTAATATGAAGCGAGTAATCAATAATCAAATAATCAGGCTTGTATGATTTTTTTTCTGTGTGGAAAAAAATGCGACGACCTTCCAGGTTTTGGAGTCAGGTAACAAAAGTTGGACCCAGCACAGTTTGATAATCCACTGAAGTTGTCACTCGGGTTAGCTTATGCATAACAAGTGACAGAGCCATGTTCGGAGCCAGGCTACCTACAGGCACCTCCTTAGCTAAAGCACACTCCTATCGTGGGAACCTTCAGTGTCATATATCTTGGGACCCGAGCTAGCAGTGCGCCACATGCTTGCTTCGATTTATGAAAGTGAAACAGATCAGAAATCAAAACTAGAACCAAACTCTATCAACCCACAAACCGGTGAGCTCTTGCTAAAAACAGCCCACATAAACTTAGTGAGAAACATCAGAGTGTCGGGAAGAGTTAGAAAATAATTATTTTCTTTTTCAAACATTTGCATCAACCCATGCATGAGCGAATTGGTGAATGCGTAGATTGACCGTAGACTGGAGGATTGATTTCAGCCACATCTTGGGTCATCGAAAATCAACCTATTGTTCCAAATAAAGTTTCACGCTAGAATGCAAATACGCAACACTGCTATGACTAATGCACATGGTTATTATAAAGTGACCGTACTTGCAGGATTTTTTTTATAAACAGCATTGTTTTGTTCTATAATAACAAGTTTGGTTGATTCCATTGATATATGTAAATATTATGGATCACAAAAATATTATTTATATTTTGTCTTTCCGCATTCCCCAACAATACCCTAAGCTGCAATCTTAATCCTGTTCTAGTATTTGCATCTCACACCCTCAAATTTCCGTTCTGGTTTTCAAAACTCGCTGCTTGCACACACCATGGATTCATTCAGGTCCCTCCCTTGTACACCGCATTCGTTCGGATCCAATGCAACAATTTTAATATCCAGGACTTACTTATATTTGAGTTGATTCAAAGCTACTAAGCTGCATGTTCGAGAGCCCGAACTCGCTGGGTCCCATGGAGGGCAGGACTGGCGACACACACCCCCCGCCGAGCAGTTCTCGGGGCGCATGCTCGATGAGCAGCCGCCTTATGACAAACATCTTCGCTTTGTGGCTCACTGAATCATGAACTCTAAATTCAGCTGGAGTTCAAACGGATACGTACGCCCAGCTTACAGCACTTAGTTATTGGCCTGTTCGTTTTTTGGACCGTAAAGCCATCGCCTGCACTTTTTTGATGCTATAAGTGCGCTCTGGTACTTTCACAACCATTTTATCATATTTACTTCTCCCATCTAGTGTAGGCATATAATAAATAGCATGAGTTAAATAGCTCAGTGTCCTAGGTTTACTGTAAAAGGGATTAGGTATTTTCAGTGTCCTAATACTGCACTTCCTGGGGTATATTGAACTTGCTGGTGACCAAAAATGCCCACCAATGTACACCTGATACACATTCAGTTGCTCCTCTGAAAATGCTTTAATATAATCCAACCAAATCATCACGAAACGCGTCCATTATCTTTGGGGTTCTTCCAATCCTACATGTAATTAATCTCAATAAAAACTTAAACCCCTCGCTTTACTCAATTCAAATCCATTTCCCAGTCTTTTACGTACAAATAGCATTGACGATCGCTCATCTATCCGTAAACATAAAGCTGATGCATATTTAAATGTGCCACAAGTCCAATATATGGTCTTATACACAAATTCTTGGAGGAATCTCAGCATCAATTCTAGGAATATAATTCCCAACTTCCAAAAATAAAGGATTACGAGATATATGAAAACATCAAGCCACTTATAATTTAATAATTAGGTTCTCTTATTTTGATAAATAAAGGCTTTGCCAGGCACTGAGAATGCAATTTGCTGAATAAAATGAATTTGGTCTTCAATTTATGTACGGATCGAAATATTCACTTTATCTCCCTCATGAAGTTAAAATTAAAATTTTCGGAAATCATATCTACTCTACTGCATGATGCCTCTAACCAAGAAGTCCAGTTCTCACTTCGGAGAGCGCTCTATATACATATGTATATACCCCCAGCTGCCATACGTTCTGTAGGAACCTTCCAGTCGTTGCGTCTGACCAGTAAATTACGTTTGAATTACAGTGAGTGTCGCATGGACTGCGTCGCCCGTAAACTGCTTTGTGGTAGTCGAGCATGGCCACCCGTGTCCCAACTATGCGCCTTTTATTGCCACTCTATGGAAATGAAGCGGTGATTGCCAAAGACCATTAGAATATTTGAAGAGGTGGCTCTTCCTTTGCTTGCTTCAATACTTGCGTTATGGTTAAATGGAAATGGTGAAGCGGTGATTGCCAAAGACCATTAGAATATTTGAAGAGGTGGCTCTTCCTTTGCTTGCTTCAATACTTGCGTTATGGTTAAATTCAAATTACATGAACGTTTAAGAAGACTTTTCTGACAGCTAAATATATATCTTAAGCAACTATATATAGCAAAAACTGAAACATTGAAAAATGTTACTTGTCCATGCAAGAGCTACTTGAAGGCCTAAGTCATTATATTATGAAGCCATCTTGAAAATTCCTTTATTTGTTTGTATTCAATTAATGTGGATTCTTATAAAAGAGTCTTCGGCAACCCAAATTGTCGTCGCAACCTTTGCTTAGACGAGAATTAATACAATTAATTAATATAATGCAATTAATACAATTTCTGTGACTATTTTCTTCTAATCGAAGTGCTTCGTCATCAAGCGTTTGGATATGATTATGCCAAATAAAATACATAGACGTCATGTCAACGGATAATATATGAAATTAAATTCTGTAAAATAATATTTTAACGATTAGAATATATTAATGCCACCTAATAATATAGGTGCCTTACAAATGATCCATGGCGCTGATATAACAAATCGATATTAAAATGAACTAGATATTTAGAGACTTTAATCACCTATTCCTATAGTGATCTCAATGAAATCAGTTTTGTGAACAAATG